TTGTTTCAAGCAAACTAGAGGATGATATCTCAAGATGCACCAAGTGTACTATCATTGTCAGCAATCTAGTATAAAGAAAGATATTAAACTTTAGAAGTGTTTTATATGTTTCTTAAAGTAAAGAAACATTACTATGCTCATCCTATCATCATTACAAAAATAGTACGGACATGATCATCTTTCAATGAGCCTAATTTTATGAATAGTATCATAGTGGTATCAAACCTATGATTTCAAAAAGGATTTGGGTGATGAAACCAATAATTTTCTCAAATGATGTAGTTTTTATATGAATTTTACATGATTTCTTTTATAAACTTTAAATTGAGGTTGGTCACCTCTTAATTTACCCTTATCATTGAATGACTTTTAAGATTTTAAAGAGATTTGGATGATGAAAAATCTATGGGATGTTCAAATGAATGAATGAGGAATGATTCTTTACTTAATGTCTTTTAAAATTTAAGGATTGATCACCTTTTTTATTTTTAGCATTTTGATTTAAGGTTGGCCATTTTTTTATTTGACTTTATGATTGTATGATTTAGGGAAGGTCACCCATAAATGACCTATGATTGGGAAAGGTCACCTATATTTGACTTATAATTGGAGAAAATCATTGATATTTGACCTATAGTTTAAGAAACATCACCCATCAATCAATTTTATTTTATGATTTCTTCAAATGATCTATTTTTAAATGTGTTTTTCCTTTCTTTCTTTCTTTTATTTCAAACTTTAGGATTTTTTTTTCATTTTAGAACTGTTTTATTTCATATTTAGTGTTATATTTGATTGAGATACATATTATAATTTTCCTTGTCCATGATATTATAGAATGCTAATAATTTTTAGAACATTTTGTGGGTGACGTCTTGTGTATGACTTCGGGAATGAGTTTCTTAAGATTGCTCAAATTGATCAAGTTGTAGATAACACTTATTTGACTAAGACCCTTGTTTACGATATCTCGCTATACTTGGTGTGTATCTTAACATTTTTTCATTGTATTATAAGTACCCTAATAAGAACATAGATGATGAATTAAAAGTGTTAATAAATAATGATCATTTTTTAAAGATTGGAGTAGAATATTCTTGAGCTATATGTTGAGCATGGAATTATTGTCGCATCATGGATCTTGATTTTGGTAATGATAGTGATGATAATGATGTTAAGAATAACATTAAAGATTTTGATGATGCTTGAGCGTGAAGAATGAGGAATGGGAGAGCATCATATAAATGAAGATAATGAATATGATTTTGCAAGGTTTGTAGAAATAATAAGTATGATGGGGTTTAATGTTGAAAATAGTAAAGATGGGCTAGATAGAGAAGAAAATATTTTTGGTAAAGAATAGTTAAGTGACTTTGATGATAGTGACTAGGACAATAAAGATTTGTTTTATAATGAGAAAAAAGGAGTTTATAAAGAAGTTGAAAGTTAATTGAAGAGGAAAAAATAAAAGGAATAAACAATAAGAAGCTATTGATATTGTGAATGATTATAAATAAGATAGCAATAATGATTCGGACCATCCCAATAGTAATGATCTCGAAGTGTAGATGATTCTAATGAAGAGGACGGTTTAGGAAGCCAAACATCCTAACTCCAACGTTGATGTAGATTTTAAAATAAAGATAATGCATTTATCTAAAATGAAGTTCCATAATAGATTTGTGTTAAGAAGGGTCTTAAAAAAACACTCAATCCAGATTTAGTATGAATTAGATAGGACATCAAAAAAGATAAAAACATTTATTGATGAACATAATTATGTGAAAGACTTCAATCTAAGAAAAACTACTACAACATAGATTACTAAGACATATCTTAAGGATACTAGGGATCAATCTAATATGGATCTAGATGTAATTAGAGAAAGGATAACAAGAGAGAAAAAGAAAAGGTCACTAGAAATAAGTGTTATATGGCAATTAGTATTGCTAATGAGATGATAAGAAAAAAAAATGGTGATTAGTTTAGAATGTTATAAAGTTTTCCTGCTATAATTAGAAAGTTCAATCTAGAGAACATTATTAAATTAAGGCAGCAAATGGAGTTTTTGGAAAAACATACATATGTCTAGCTGCTCGTAAAAAAAAAAAAAAAAAAGCTTTTTGACGGTTTGCAGACCATTTATTGGCTTTTATAGATGCCATTTGAAATGATCCTTTAGGGTAAATCTTTTAATTTTTGTTGGAAAAGTTGTGAATTATAATATGTATCCAATTGTTAGCACATTAGTGTATGAAGAAACAAGAGCAAATTAAAAATGTTTCTTAGATACCTTATTTAAAGATATTGGCTCTTTTACGAATAATAGTTGGACTTTTATTTCGATCGTTAGAAGGTATTGGTTATTTGTAGATTTTTATTATACTTATTGTTTATTTTAATTGTATAACTAATCGACAATTTGAATATGTTTTTTGTATGTTTAATTGATAATAACAGAGTTTACAACATATTTTTTATGAAAACTTGATAGGAGTTAATTATAGATATTGGTGCATATGACTACTTGATGAATATGTCATGGGAGACATGGATAAGGCATGCAATGGGGTGCCATGTGAAATATGATTTGTCTGCTCAACAATATAGCATAAAGTTTCAACAATTTCACACTTAAGGCTAGAGACAAAGATGTAATTACAATGATGGAGATAATTGGAAGAATACTCGTAAAAAGGTTTTACAAGAAAGTAGAAGGGATTAACAAAGACATTCCAACTATTTATCTAAAAATTCTATATATATATATATATAAAACTTAAGCCAATAAGAGAGGCATAGTTGTTTTGAATTGTAATTTTGATTGGATAACACATATGAAGTGACTGCAAGTAATGAGAATGAAATTATTGTTGATTTATAACATCAAATTTTTATTTAAATATGTTGAAAAATGACTAGAATTCCATAAATACATGTATGTGTTGTAATCTAGTACACTAACTTGAGGATTGAGAATTATATCAATTTTTATTACAAAAAAGAAACAATTTTGAAGGCATACAAGTTTTGAATCAGACATGTACCGGGTTCCGATGGTTGGCTTGAGACAGACTTAATCGGATTATCCCTCTAGTTGTTAAGAATGAAAGTGGCAGGTTAAAAAAAACAACAAGATGAACAACGTGCTCTAAATCCTTACAAGATTAGTAGGATTGGTTTGATTATGACTCGTAGCAATTGTGAGGCCAAGGGCCATAATATTAGGGGATGTTATATGCTAAGAAATCCTAATACAATGCTTACAAGGATGAAAAAAGAATCAAAGAATGCACAAGTTTGTTGAAAGCTGAAACAATCAAGAAAGAAGGTAACCAAAAGAATATCAACCAACACAAGAATCCAACTTCACTACCATTAAAGTTGAAATTACTTATCAAATGAAGAGAAAAGGGAAAGATATTACTCTATATTGATCAACCAAGACCAAAGTGAGTTTGAAAATTTTTATCTTTGAAGTGTTTATACTTAAACTAGATTGAGGATTATTTTAGTCAATGCATGTGCTTGTGATGATATGTGTATGTGATGATAATGCTAGCATAGATTGAATAATATTGTGGTGATGGAAATGATAATGTCAACATAAGCTTCATGTCAAATACAAGGGTGAGCTATACTCGAGGGAACCAAGGCATGCAAAAGTTTAACCCACCGAGGCACACATCCAAAACCACTAATGCTCCGGCAACCATAGTAAGAAGGCTGCCTCAAGGCTTTGATATGGTGTTGGACATAAAAACTACATAAATTTTGATTTGTAATTTGTTAAAGTTTAGTTCATTTGAGATAGGATAAATGATTGGTGTTGCTGATGTTCGGTTATATTTTGGCAAGCATATATTGTATTTTTTTATTAGCCATCAATTGTCGAGTTATTATGTAGTTGTAAATAGTGTTAGATGAATATGACATCTACCATTTATTTTAGTTTAGAAATGATTGGTTCATGTGATGAAACCAAGTTCGAACACTTCTAACACCCAACTTGAATGATATGGACTACAATTAAGTTAAAAATGCTTCGTTTTTTTTTTCCATTGTTTACTTGCTTATAATGTTCTTTTTTATTTTCAATATTAAGTTTAAATAGATACAATACACGCACACATAGAGAGAAATTTTTCAACAATCTCATGAAAAATGAGCTATTTTTTTTATATCTATTTTACATGCCTTCCAACCTCCTAACTTTCACACTACATCATTAAACTTACTACTACTACTACTACTATATGCATGATAAATCTTAGCTTATAACAACATACAAAAAACACCAACTACTTCATCCATTAAAGGATGAATCTCAACCTATGTTATAAAAACAAAAGAATTTAGGTCGAGTCGCCTATAACGGGTCAACCCGATAAGGAAAAATATATGTGTATATAATAATAACAACAACAACAATAATAATAATAATAATAACTATCAAAAACGAGTTACAAAAAAACATTATTTCCCTTCAACTCCAATGTGTTTGTGTGTATATATATATATATATGCATCTCTGGAAAAAGATAGATGAGAGAGATGAGAGAGAAAAAAAACAAAATAAAAAGACTATTTGCAAGTAGGATTGTCTTGGCACTTTGATTGTGAAAATTAAGATAGTGATTTAATATTGATGTATTGATACGGTGAAACTATTTACGGGTAAGTGTTTCGATCTTAATTATTTTTATTATTGAAGTATTTATTATAATCTCCATTGGTATCGAGTGTGTTTTAATAGTTTCCATTATTATCCATAGTGTGTTATTGTTATGTTAGTGTTCGATATTTGTTGTTAATATATCGGTGTTTTGATATTTGTTGTTATCCATGTGATATTCATCCGAATCCATATATATATATATATATAATTGCATGTCGGTAAGACATGTTTGGATGATACATAGCATAGAGGATTATGTATGAATGATAATGATACACGGCACAAGATTCATTAACAAAAGAAAAGGCCTATTTAAAAAAAATGTCGAAATGGGATTTGAACCCACATCTATTGATGCTTAATCTAATGCCTTAGACCACTCTACCATGCTAACCTATTGACATTTTTAGTGGGCAACTAAATATACTACTACTTTAAAATGGATAAACAAATGTTTGGAAAACAGATTATTAAGAGTGAGATTCGAACACACGTTATATTGGATCAAAATTCTTAATCTGTCACCTCAAACCAACTCAACCAACCCGTCATGTTGGTTCAAATTTATTGGTAAGTTAATATTATTCTAAGAATTCTGCCAGGATAATAATCATGTTGATGATGATTGATTATTTTTGTGTTTAATCTCATGAACTATTTATGTATAGTAGTTTGAATTATGTGTTTATATATTTTTATTTTCATTTTGAATTTATATATATGAACATATGATATTAGTTAATTTAAGAAATTAGTGAAACATACATACATACATAGATATTGATATTGTATATAATGTCTCTTTATAGTAATTGATTGTGAAAATGGCAACAAAGATCATCATTGCTGACTTAAATAAGGGTGAAAGGCTTGATGAGGACAACTATAACATATGGCATGTTAAGATACAATATGTCCTAGAAGAGCAAGAGGCTATTAATCATGAGATGATTGAGCCTCGGTCGATGAATGGAACAACCTTGCCCAGATATTATTAAGATATCGAAGCATATAGAACCCGAAAAAAAAACGATTCCACTACAAAGGGAATCTTAAATAGTTTTATGAAAGATGATCTTTTTTCCAAGTACCAAAATTATCAAACTACTTATGCCATCCGGGTAGCACCGAGGAAGGAGTTTAGAGGGACCACTGTCGCCAAACTAAAGCGAGTTGACAATAAAGTTTGACACTTATAAGAAGATTCCAAACAAATCTATGAAGCAGCACCTAAGGGACATATCGAACATGATTGCGGAACCGAAGCAAGTTGGGTATGTCTTGGAAAATGAACATCAAGTACGAGCTATTATCTAATCTCTTCCCAATAGCTCGTAACATATGAACGTGAATATAACTCACAATAAGAATATCGGGACATTTGCTAACACTCGCCCTCCATATTGAGCTAGAAGATGAGTGCCTCGAGGTAGCAAAGCCAAATGCACTAAGCATATATGGTCGAGTTTAGCTTTAAGAAAACTTCGGGTTTTAAACGTAAATGGCGTGGCAATAAGAAAGAGAAAGAGACTAGATAGAAACCAAAGAAAAGAGTCAAGGTTTTTAAGCTTAAGAGAGAAAAATGCAATGAAAAGAAAGATAACACAAAACTAACCTATTACAACAAGTGGCAAGCTAGGTCACTTTGCTCATGAGTGTAATGGGCCAAGAGAGGTATTATCTTTAAACACTTATTCTATTAATGTTTATGTTTTTAGAACAATAATTCTTACCGAATCCCATCCTTTGTGGACTCGTAGATTCAAGAGCCCCCCACCATGTAGTTAGAGATAGAGATGCATTTATGGAATTTCATCGAATTTCAAGTGGGACGTGAGGAATATATGTGGGCAATAACATGAGAGTTGAAGTGCTTGGAATTGGTACGTGCAAGTTGAATTTTCAAAAAGAAAAGACCTTTTATCTACATGATGTCCTTTACGCTTCAACGATTCGATGAAATTTGGTCTCTGTAGTTGGTCTATTAAGAATAAGATATGATTTGCATTTTTATGGTAATATTTTAGACATATTTATTGGTTCTATTTATTTAGGATCCGGTTATATCACATATGATTTTGTAATATTGAACACCAAATATTATAATATGAATAATAATGTATACTTTTCTATGCTAACTAGCTCTAACAATGATAATATAGGTATTAATCTATGACATGCTAGATTAGGGCATATAGGGCAAGATAGAATAAAAAGATTGGCTTGAGATGGTCTTCTAGGATCTATCACGATAATTGATTTGCCCACTTATGAATATTGCCTATGAGGAAAAGCAATTAGAAAACCATTTAGTAAAGCGAAGAGGGCAGCATTTTCTTTACAATTAATACATTCGGACATTTGTGGTCCTATAAATGTTAAAGCTAGACATGAGACATCCTACTTCAATACTTTTATAGATGACTTCACTCCAATTGGTTATGTCTTTTTGATCTCTCACAAATCGAAGCAATAGATTGTTTCATTAAATATATCAAGGACGTTGAGAATCAATTAGACAAAAGAATTAAAAATTTGAGGCCAATAAAGGTCATGAGTATCTATCAGATCAATTTAAGGATCTTTGTAATAAGAAAGGAATAACTAGGCAATTTATGATTCTTAGAACACCATAACAAAATGGTGTAGTGAAGCATAGGAATCGTACATTATTAGACATGGTTAGATCTATGATGGCACATGTAAATCTTCCAATTCGGGTTTTAGGGAGATACATTAATAGCTACGGCCTATGTACTTAATCGAGTGCCTTCAAAAATAGTAGCCTCTATACCCTATTAGTTATGGATGGGTCGTAAATCCAATTTGCATCATTTGCACCCATGGGGATCCATTACATATATTCATAATAATTCTCAAAATTATGGTAAATTAAGGCCCAAAGGAAAGAAATATGTCTTTATAAGATACTCGAATACTCAAAGGGATACGTTTTCATTGGTAAGGACTCCGATGGACAAACCACTAAAATAGAACCTCGAGATGTCACTTTTCTAGAAGATCTTTTTCCTAAAAAGAATGAGATAGATAAAAATGATCTTCATTTTTTTGAGGTAGAAGAAGATGATGATATGCCTAAAGGTCGATCGAAGTCGACACTCAACTAGATGTGCAAGACTCTCTTTTCCTAATAGGAGTTTTAAAAGCACAACACCACTCGTCTCAATTGAGTAGAAGGAATAAGGATGATCTAATTTCGATTGGTGTTAGTAACGATTTTTATTTACGTAGGAGCAATCAATCGAGTATTCCTCAAAAACGATATCAAATTAAGAATGAATCCTACATTGTAACCCCATAAGATGATAAAGAACCTAGAATAGTGTAAGAGGCACTAACATAACCTACCAAAGAAAAATGAAAAGTTACAATAGAAAAGGAAATGGAACCCATGAAACTATACTAGGTATGGAGTTTGGCCGATCCTCCGTCAAGTCATAAAGCCATTAGGAATAAATGGATTCTCAAAATAAAATAAAAGATAGATGGATCAATTTAACAATATAAAGCTCGTCTTATGGCTAAAACCAAAAAGAGGGTTTAGACTACGAGAAAACCTTTTCCCCTATTGTTAGGTTTGCCTCGATAAGATTATTAATTTTAGCCATTTTTGCACATTTAAATTTAGAATTGCATCAAATGAATGTAAAAATAGCTTTTCTTAGTGGAGAGTTAGAAGAAAAAATTTACATGAAATAACCTATACGTTTCATTATTGAAGGCCAAGAACGTAAAGTTTACAAGCTCCAAAGATCTATCTATGGTCTAAAACAAGCATCTAGATAATGGTACCTTTGCTTTCATAAGGCAATAATGACTTATGATTTTAAAATGATTAAGAAAGACCATTTTTTTTATATTAAAAGAACCGAAGAGAAGTTCGTAACTCTATCTCTATATGTTGATGATATTTTGATAGTTAGAAATAACAAGATTTTGTCATGTCTATCAAAGCATGGTTATCCATAAATTTTAACATGAAGGACATGGGTGAAGCAAACTATATTTTGGGAGTCAAGATCATTAGAGATCGTTCAAAAACTTTTTCGACTCCGTCACAAGAACATTATACCGAGAAAATTCTAAAACGATTCCATATGAGTAATTATAAGTCTATGGACACCCCCGTGTTAAAAGGCAAGTCTTTAAGTAGTAAAATGTGTCCTAAAACTCCACAAGATAAAAAGAAGATGTTTAAAGTATCATATTCAAGTGTAGTTAGAAGCCTTATGTATACAATAATATGTACTCGTCCGGATATATGTTTTGTCGTTGGTTTGGTTAGTTGATTTTAGTCAAATCCTAATCGAGAACATTGGAAGGTCGTTAAAAGGATCTTGAGATATCTCAAGGGCACTATGCATGATTTTTCTATGTTATCAAGGGAGAAATTTACATTTGAATGGATACTCGGATGCTGATTGGTGAGGAGACCTTGATGAATGCAAATCCACTTCTCGCTATGTTTTTCTACTCAATAATGGCACCATCTCTTGACGAAGCAAGAACATACCGCATAGCTTTGTGTACTATAGAGGTTGAATTTCTAGCATGTTCGACTGTTGTGCAAGAAGCGGTTTGATTAAGGCGATTTCTTGAGGATTTAAAAGTTAATAATAATAGCTTGGGGCCTATTACCGTCGATTATGACAACTAGACAACTATTGCTTATACCAAGGATCCTAACTATCATAGTAGAACTAAACATATTGACACTAAGTATAACTACATTAGAGACATCATTGAAAAAGAGAAGTGTTAATACAATATATATCTACACATCAAAAGATAACGGATCCTCTCACAAAACCCATACCAAGAGACTTGTATCTTGGACATGTTAAATCTTTTGGAATACGTAGATTGTAACTTTTTCATGATAATGAACGAGTTGAGTTTGTATATTATACCATATTTTTGTATGAATGCAATTTGATACATATATTTACATGTTATGTCTATTACTTTTATAAAGCTCAATTTTTTTAAGTCACACAAGTTTAGATTGGCTCTCTCACATGAGCAATCGCCTCTAGCGTTAATGGAAACAAGTAGAGATGAGACAATACTCCTCTATCGCTATTGAGAGCGAGTAAAGTGGAGATAAGATTAAGAAAGTGTCACCTTAATTATAAAATTAAGATGAGATTGTAAATTAATATAGATTTTTTTTCTATAATTGATTTGGAAAGCTCGATCCAAATAACTCGTGAAAACCAGATTTGAGATCTCGATGATTAAAACCTATTGAGAGAAAACACCATGAGAACGTAGGTTAATCACTTGTGTCCAACTAGCTGAACTAAGATCCGTATAATATGTATAAGATATGATGACTAGGAACACCGTAGCATGTGATTCATACAACGTGTGATTATACG